ACGTATAGGTGCTGTGTGACATCTGGCTGCTGTCTCAGTGACGTTAAGCCGATCCGTAGGTTCAGAGAGTCTGTGTTTCACCTCGTGGCTTTGGAGCTACTGATGTTTGTGCAGGAATTTCATTCGGGGCCACAGCATGGCCACGGGTGCATTCATGTCATCTTCGTTTATTTCGCTGTTATACTTCTTTTTTTTTTTGGCTGCGTTGGGTCTTTGTTGCTGCTCACGGGCTTTCTCTAGTTGCGGCGAGCAGGGGCTACTCTTCATTGCGGTGCACGGGCTTCTCATTGTGGTGGCTTCTCTTGTTGCAGAGCACGGGCTCTAGGCGCGCGGGCTTCCGTACTTGTGGCTTGTGGGCTGAGTAGTTGTGGCTCGCAGGCTCCAGAGCACAGACCCGGTAGTTGTGGCGCACAGGCTTAGTTGCTCCACGGCATGTGGGATCTTCCCAGACCAGGGCTCAAACCCGTGTCCCCTGCATTGCCGGGTGGATTCTTCACCACTGCGCCACCAGGGAAGCCCTGCTGTTACACTTCTAAAGACAGCCTCCGCTCATCAGCTGTTCAGTTGCCCTGAGAAATGGGTGACTGAGAAGTACGTTTGCCATGCCCTCCCCCTCCCTCTGTCCCCGCCAGACCTCCCTGCTGCTCCTTGGCCAGTGCCCCAGGCTCACCTCTGCTCTGGAAAGCTTTTAGCAAACAACTCCTTCCATATTTAGAGGTGCAGCCCTACAGGAAAGCACTCCCTGTCCTGCGTCTGCTCTGAGTTTTTTCTCCATGGCACTTACATGTTGATGTACCACACGGTTGACTCACTTAATCGTCTTTTCCCCAACCCAGAATGTAAGCTCAACAAGGGAAGAATGGGGGGGGGGCTGTTTCAGTGCTGTAGCCCCAGCACGTACACAGTGTGCTGTTAGCTCGTGGTAGGTGTTTACAAACATAATTAAAGTAGTCATCTTGGATAAAATAAAGGAAGGGTCCTAACACTTTTTTTAATGGTGTGGATGATATTCTTGTTATTACTCAAAAAAAGTTATGCTATATTTTTTAAAAAGTATTTGCTTTTAAAAAAAAAAAAGTATTTGCTTTTTAAGTTAATATGAAGAATAGTCATTACCTTAGTTTAGAAATAAGATAAAAAATTGAAAGGTAGGAATAGCTTTGCGCTTTTGGAGCGGTTGTCCTGTGCTGGGTGCCCTGGGAGTTCATGGAATCCTCTCTGCATCTCTTTACTTGAGGAAGCTTCTGTTACTGCCTCATTTTACAAATAGGAAAACAGAAACAGAAGTTGGGTAACTTTTCTAATGTCATGGGGTGAGTAGTGGAGCCAGAATCTGAATCCAAATAGAGATTTTTGTATATTTTATTTTTCCATAATTTCACACATAGAGGATGGTTGTAAGAATAGTAAAGTGAAGTCTCATATGTTCTTTACTCAAATTCACTATGTCTCTATTTTGGCCCACTTGCTTTCTCCTTCCCTCTACTTTTTTTTTTCTTTTTTAAAATTGAAGTATAGTAGATTTACAATATTGTGTTAGTTTCGGGTGTAAAACAAAGTGATTCAGGGGTTTTTTTGCAGATTATTTTCCATTATAGGTTATCACAAAAAGCGAGTATAATTGCTGTGCTATGCAGTAGGTCCTTGTGGCTTATCTATTCTATATGTAGCAGTGTGTATCTGGGCATCCTGTACTCCGAACTTATCTCCCCACGTCCCCCTTTGATAATCATAAGTTTGTTTTCTGTGTCTGAGTCTATTTGTTTTGTACGTAGATTCATTTGTATTATTTTTTAGATCCCACATATAAGTGATATCATACAATATTTGTCTTTCTCTGTCTGACTTGCTTCGTGTAGTATGATAATCTCTGGGTCCATCCATGGTGCCGCAAATGGCATTATTTCATTCTTTTTTATGGTTGAGTAATATTCCATTGTATGTATATGTACCACATCTTCTTTATCCATTTCTCTGTCGATGGACATTTGGGTTGATTCCATGTCTTGGCTATTGTGAATAGTGCTGCTATGAACATTGGGGTGTGTGTCTCTTTTCGAATTAGAGTTTTCTCCAGATATATGCCCAGGAGTGGGATTGCTGGATCATATGGTTGTTCTGTATTTTATTTTATTTTTATTTATTTTTTTTTTTGCGTTACGCAGGCCTCTCACTGTTGTGGCCTCTCCCGTTGCGGAGCACAGGCTCCGGACGCGCAGGCTCAGGGGCCATGGCTCACGGGCCCAGCCGCTCTGCGGCACGTGGGATCTTCCCAGACCGGGGCACGAACCCGCGTCCCCTGCATTGGCAGGCGTACTCTCAACCACTGCGCCACCAGGGAAGCCCTGTATTTTATTTTTTTAAGGAATCGCCACACTGTTCTCCATAGTGGCTGTAACAATTTACATTCCCACCAGCAGTGTAGGGGGAGGGTTCCTTTTTCTCCACACCTTCTCCAGCGTTTAGTATTTATAGACTTTTTGGTGATGGCCATTCTAGCCAGCGTGAGGTAATATACCTCACTGTAGTTTTGATTTGCATTTCTCTAGTAATTAGCAATGTTGAGCATCTTTTCATGTGCCTGTTGGCCATTTGTGTGTCGTCTTCTTCTTTTTTTTTTTTGAAACATTTGAAAGCAAGTTGCAGACATGGTATGCCCCTTTACTTATAAATGTTTCAGTGTGCATTTCCTAAGACCAAGGACATCCTCTTACACAGTCACAGTGTCTTTACCAAAACCAGGGAATTTGACTCTGATAGAATGCTCTTATCTTATCCACAGTCCGTGTTCTTGTTTCATCTCAATGACCCCTATAGCTGTTGCCCCTCCGCCCCATCCGGAATTCCATCCCGCCTGGCACAGGGCACTGTTTTCGTGTTCTTAACCGATAAAACACAGGGAGCTGCCCTCTGGAGTCATCACACAGGAAGTTGAGTGTGTGCTAAGGGGGGAAGATGGAACAGTGCACATTGTTGGGATAACAGCACACCCCGTGGGAGCATGACCACGTTGTCTGTTTCAGTTCTTCTCATTTCTGTTCCTAACTGATGGCCGTAAGTTGTTGCCGTCTTCATCCTGACCCTGCTCTCCCTGGGCCCACACCTGGAATCCTTACCTTTCTTGATGGGACCCTGTGGATCTGCAATTAAGTTGTGCATGCCCACTGCATCTTTTCTGTCACATGGTGTCACCGCTGCATTTTAAAGGGCTGTACATCCCTTGTTTTGACTCTAGTTTGACTTGTCTGCTCTTGCCCTTAGCGTACTGCAGTTGTTTCTTCTCTGTTCTACTGTCCTGGGTGCTTGTTCATCCAGCAAGTGCCTCATACAGAGAGAGTTGACTTTCAAGTGAGTTTGCAGCACATGAATGAGAGTGAATGAACAAAGGATGCTGGTAGGCGGGGGAGGGGCTTTGCAACCTATGTATTCAGATGTCCTTATGTTTTTTATGTTAAGGCAGTTTATTTAAGGTGTACACTTAAGGTCTGTGTCTTTGCTGATGATTTGGGGGAAAGTGCTTATAAAGCTCTTTCACAAATCAGGATCTGCTAGTTTTCTGCAATGTTTTTCTTTGTGGTTGAATGTTAGATGTTCACAAGAATCTTGAATTATCTATTGGTCTTTGTTGTTTGTCTCATTTCATTTTGTTTCAGTTTTGTTATTTTAAAGGTATCTGTACCTTTACTTGGCTGGCTTTGTAAAGGCTTAGCTGGCTGACTCTCTTTATGTCTTGCTGAAACTTTCTGTGTCTAGTGCTAATCTTTCCTAAGAGGGAAAAGTGCATTTTAAAATATTAATATGTTTCTTAAAACTCAGTTATATTAAGAAATCAAGTGTGCCAGTAGTCACATAAAAGCATTGCAATTTTGTATTTGTTTTTATTGATATGCCTTAAAATATAAGTTTGCTCTTGTATTAAAATGTGTTTGTTTTTCTCTTTCCTCCTCCTGCCTCTTTATAAAGGAGTCAGTCACTGCCAACATAAAGTTAAGAAAGCTAGGCGCTTTCTCCCTTTGGTCTTCTGTTCCCACGAACCTCCTTCTGCGGGTACTGCACTCATCTTTGCACAGACTCTTACTAACCACAGCGCCCCAGGCAGCAGCCTAACCAGATGCTTGTAGATTACCCTGAGCGGGAGTGCCTGTCCTGGGGGTCCGTGAGTGCTGTCCACTGCCGGCAGCGGTGCTGTGGGCCGCTCTCCTCATGGAAGACTGTTGCCTGTTTGCTGGTTTTTAAATGCGTGACAGGGCTAGAAGTCGCTTCCTGGCTTCCCCGGTGGGATCTTAGTGTTTTACCAAAGGGGCCGGCAGGTACCTTTGCCTCGTGGGTTTCCTGACCTGGCATGAGATTAATGGAGAAGGATGGTCCAAGTGAGCCCCAGGGGTCTGCCTTTCCTGCCTCGGGGGCAGATACTCAGGGTGCTGCAGAGCAGAGGCCAAGGGGGGGAGCTTTCCAGCAAAGGGAAGATTATCTGTAACAATTGGAAGAGTCACTTCTACAAACACTGTATAACTGTAAGTGGAAGCTCGCCGCAGAGCCTCAGGTGCTGTACTCCTTGAGCTTCTTTGGAGAGGCTGGAATCCTGCAGAGGCTTGCTGAGGGCTGTTCCCTGCTTATTGTGTGGGGTACACGTCAATGACCCATAGTTTTCATTTCCAAGACGATACAAATTCCTTTCGAGGCAAGTAGAGTCATTTTTTAACATTTAACTGTGAGGAGCAATCCAATCAGTTTTGCTTAATGCGGCAGAAACGCACTTAAACTGCTATTTACTTGGGGTGACGTGTGGACCGCTGAAAACTCGCATTAATGCCCTTAAGTAAACTTGCTAACTCCTATGATCTTCTTTTATCTTTTGAATTAGACTGGGGGGGTAATTTTTGTGTTTTCCTTACACTTTGATTTGCTTGTCATTTTAATAGCGTTTTCCCTCTCTCCCCCTCCCCTCCCCCTCCCCCCTCTCTCCTCCCCCTTTCTTTGCATGCCACCCGGATCTGCAGATGAAATTAGTGGGGACGGTAATATTTATTTTCATGTTTGTGTTACTAATATAATTATTCATGGATATAAATATCATTCAGTATTTAATGAAAGGCAAAATGTGGCTTTGATCCAACAAAACAAGTATGAAGAAACCGTGGTGTGAGTCAGTGATCTCTTCAGAATTATGTAGGGCTTTGACATGGGAAGGGTAACTGTCAGTTTCTTTACCACATCTCAGTAGTAAATTCAAGTCGTATCTGTTCATAGCGAATTCTAGAGGTGAAGAAAAGTTGTCGAAATGGTATCATTCAGCAGTAAATGGGAGAAATTTGCACACTCCTCCACACATACGTAATAGTCATTTTTAGTTTGGGAGTGAGGTAGCGGAAAGGAAAGAAAGAAAAGTGATGTTTGAGAGTCAAACAGCCTAAAATAATTAGAGAACTACCAGCAGGAGTGATGATGAGTATTTCTCAGGCAGCTGAGGTTGTCACTCTCATAAACCAGAAATTTAGAAGCACGTGTAGTGTCTTGTTTTCCATTTCCTTTGTGTACTGCCTGCACGAAGCTTTGTGCTCTTACGATACGGAGTGAGGTTTATAAACTAAAATTAAAGGAGGTTGCATTTTTCCTCACGATTAAATGAAATAACGCTTTCACTGAAGAGTCCGTCTGTGCTTGCGTGTGTGTCTGGTCGACGACTTGAGCACCATATGAGCAAAGTGCTTGCAGTCAGACGTCTGGCCTAAACGTGGCTTGGAAGGCGCCTTGCCTCCTGGGACTTCCAGCTCCAAGCCTCGTTTCCAGGCCGACTCCTTGGTGGTTACTGGGTGGGCGCCCCCGATGTGCGTGCGTGTCCTTCACCAGCGAGTCTCCCGGCAGGGGTTCAGAACATGATTGGTGTTCTCCTCGCTGTCGTGCGGGTGAGGACACGGGTGACCAGTCCAGGGCTGCTGGGTGAGTGGTCAGGTCCCAGGCTCCAGCCTCGCCCCGTCCCATCACCAGCTGGCCAGTTGGGTGACCTTGAGCAAAGCACTTCATCTCTGGAGTCTTCACCTGTAACAGGCCTTCATGGTTGTTGTGCGGACTACTGTGAAAGCATAAAAATGTCAACAAACGTGTATTAACGAGTGGTTATTAGCACATTATTTATCTAAAGAAAACATCGTGCCTTTTCCCCACATTTGAATTAGGGTGAGTAGTATTATCCCCGTTTTACAGGTGAATAAGCTGAGACTTCCACAAACTAAGGCCTGTGGGCCAAATACGGCTCACCTCTGTTTTTGTATTGCTCCTGGAACTAAGAACCGTTATTACAGTTCTCAATGGTTGGGGGTAAAATCAAAGAATAGTACCTGGCATCAAAACTATGTGAAATTCAAATTTCTGTGTCCATCAGTAAAGTTTTGCTGGAACATAGTGACACGTTCACTCATGACGTGTCTGCCCACCCCTGCAATCTCAACAGCAGAGTTAAGTGGTTGCAGTGGAGACTTTGTGAGCCGTGAAGTCTAAGATACGTACTGTCAGACCTTTTGCAGAAAAAGCTGGCCGACCCCGGTGCAGGTCACAGAGCACAGCGGAGCCCTTCCTGGCTTCCTGAAAGCCCTCCTGCCCCTGGCCCCCACAAGCTGGTCGCCACCTCCAGGGCTCACGGCAGGGTCACGTGTGCAGGTGTGGTGAGAAGCTGTGCTGGTGCTTGGTCCCACTGAACTGCTGAGCAATCCCGTGACTGCATGTGTTGCCCTGGGGGTGGTACCTCATCAGGCCTCCTGAGGGCAGCAGGGCGCCGACCAGAGGCTGTCGTCAGAAGCGCTCGGTGTCAGGCCCCGAAGGGCAGGTGGAGGAGGTGGAGAGGGAATCACCTGGCCCCCCTCTTCCCCGCGGGGAGTGGTTGGCTCCTGAGAGCTTTGTGGTCCTGCAGGCTCCGGTGCACTTCCTTTTGTTTACAGCCGAGCGTCCACTGCTCTGTCCCTCTCCAGCTCGAAACTGACCCCTTCACGGTGACTCCGGAGGCTTCAGGCTCTTTGCGTGACGGAGCGTGACAGGCGTGTGTCACTGGTTTCAGTAGTGACTTCACTAGGCCTCTTTTCCTTTGTTTTAAAACGAGAACTTTGTACCTTTCTCTCCTAATTTCTGAGCTGTCGGTTTCTGCCCTTTTAACGTGTCTTCCCCTCATTTTTATTTTACCACGTATTGTGATACCAAACCTTTCAAATTACAGTGTTATCCAAGGTTTCAGAAGTCTCTGTCCATTTTTCAAAACGTTTACTTTGAAATATTTGACTCATGGTCCTAGAATTGTCTCCCAAGTGCACAGGCCCAGTTAAGCCTTCCAGGGATGCCCATATTGGGGGTGAAGTCCCAGAACATCCTTAGGGGAATACTCCGAGGTTTCGAAGCATCAGGTATCTGGTCTCACAAATAAAAGTCCCCAGAAACGTATTGGGAGATAGTAAAGAACGAAGCCCAGAACACGGCGGCCCAGGAGCTCTGCTGGAGCGCTGAGTGGCTGGGGACTGTGAGAAACTCAGGGTGCCTCTGGGTCTCCCAGCTTCCTGCCTGGGAAACGGGGATGATGATAACAGTACCACCATGTACGATGCCCCTGAGGATTAAATGGCGATATGTGTAGTTGTTTGTGACGGTGTCTGGCGTTAGGGCGAGCGCTCCGTTAGCTGTCGTCCTGGTCAAGTGGAGAGTGCAGACCTGCTTGTCTGTATTTGTGACGAGATCTTTGAACCTGTTTCCTTTTCCTTTATATTTTCCTTCTTTTATGTCATTATTTTGGGGGCCAGGTGGTTTCAGGGTGGACTCCAGTTTTTCAGGGGCCCAGAGTATGTAAAAGTACCTTTCATCTCAGTGTCATACTGTCCCATAATCCTAAAAACCAGGAAGGAAAAAGGGAAGATAGAACCAAATCAGTATCAAGAATTCTTAGAGAAATATGCCGAGTATCCCCACGTGGAAAGCCCTATATAGAAGGTTACGGTAAAACCTTTGTAGGTCCACGTACCTTCAATAGTGTTGACCTTTCTTCATAAGAACCAACTCAAGGAGAACACAGCAGCAAAAGTTCACGTGACGTCACGGTACCCATAGCCACACCCATGTGTCGTCATGAGTAAGGCCCAGGGAGCTTGGATAATCCCCAAAGGTTTTTTGTAGAATTCACACAGCACTGAAAGCAAACTGCAGACTTTCTCCTGTGATTGTGTGAATTAAGGCAAGTGCATGCAACTTGGTTTTTCCCACGTCACTTTTGTGCGTTAGCCTCTGACACATGAGCCATTTTATTCTTACTCCTTGAAGCTGGTTCAGAGTCGGTATCCCTGCTGAGAGTTTTATAAGAAGAGGCCGTCTGGGAAGCGCTTACAGTCCCACCAGGAAGGCTCCTTCCAGAGGCCTCAGAAGGAGGGAACCAAGGAGCCTCCCACCTGTTTGTCACCTGTCCTGTGCAGGGCTGCACCACAACTTCACGTGCATCTCTGTAATCCTCACGACGGCCCCACCAGGTGGCCGTGCTCTCATTGGGCACGTGAGGGCACAGCTGAAGCGCAGACAGGTTCAGCGGCTCCTGGGGTGGAGCAGCGCCCAGACATGCAGCTGTGGCTGGCCTGGCTTCCTCGCCTCTGGGTCACGGGGAGTGCCGTCCCCTCCTGCACTGTTGAAGGGCACTCCTCCCTTTCGTTCAGCAAGTGGTTACTGGGTGCCTCCCGGGCCGGCCGGCCCTGGGTTGGAAGCTGAGAACACAGCAGTAAACAAGGTACATACGGCAGGGCCCACTGCCCTGGGGGCTCTGCTCTGGATGGGGGTACACGGTTGACGAGGAACCAGAGGACCGCCAGAGGGTTGGTAGTGATGGGCCCTGAGCAAAACATGTCAGGCAACGTGATCGAGAGTGATGGGGGTGAGGATGGGTCTCTGAACAGGTGACACTCAGGTGGCAGATACCATTACCCACAGAGACGGAGGGACAGGTGGTCAGTGACCCCAACAGCCTTGGGAAACTTTGGTGCCCGCGGAGTCGATGGGTCCCCGATATCTCCTTAGTAGAGCTGAGAGCCAGGTGCAGGGGGTGTTGAAGATTCCGGAGCAAATCTGGTAGCAGGGCGGCAGAGGCAAGAGATCTGGGCAGTTTCACTGCCAGAATCCGGTCCCTCAGGGTCAGCTAATGTGTTTGGCCTCTAAGGGTGTGTGCTTTGTGTGAAAGGGGGCAGCAAGGGTGGGTCTGTGGTTGCAGGAAATTGAGCCTTAGTTGCATGTGCTCTGAGGGAGGGGCATGAGGGGAGCTTGTCCGACTGCAGACAGAGTGAGTGGCTGAGTGTCCGTCTGTGGGGCCTTAGCCCCGGCACATTCCCCCGCTTAGCCCTTTCCTTGCCTCTGCCTTAACACCACCTCCATCCCCAAATTGCATCTCACCTTACACAAAAGCAAGGCTCCCGGCCTAGGAACCATCACTCACTCTTCCTGGTAGTCACTGGGAACAGGATAGGAGGGAGAAATTTAGGAATAAAGAATGTAAGGTTTGGGGTAGATTAAATAATTTTTTTCTTTAATTCTGAAAGTAGTATTACCTATAAACATGTAAGAATAATATAAATTATCCACCTGGCATACAGGACTCACAAATAGGTAACATTTGCTAAATCTCTAAAGGAGAACCGATTTATTGACTTTACATTCTGCCAGTCGAATTTGTTTTTACTTTAATCACTTTTAATGATGATTACGAATTAAGAAATGAATTCTTGGGCTTCCCTGGTGGCTCAGTGGTTGAGAATCCACCTGCCAATGCAGGGGACACGGGTTCGAGCTGTGGTCCAGGAAGATCCCACATGCTGCGGAGCAACTAAGCCTGTGCGCCACAACTACTGAGCCTGTGCTCTAGAGCCTGCAGGCCACAACTGCTGAAGCCCGCGCACGTAGAGCCCATGCTCCGCAACAAGAGAAGCCACTGCAGTGAGAAGCCCGTGCACCGCAATGAAGAGTAGCCCCCGCTCGCTGCGGCTAGAGAAAGCCCGTGCGCAGCAGCGAAGACCCAACGCAGCCAAAACTAAATAAATAAATTTTAAAAAAAAGAAGAAGAGGGCTTCCCTGGTGGCGCAGTGGTTGAGAGTCCGCCTGCCGATGCAGGGGACACGGATTCGTGCCCTGGTCTGGGAGGATCCCACATGCCGCGGAGCAGCTGGGCCCGTGAGCCATGGCCGCTGAGCCTGCGCGTCCAGAGCCTGCGCTCCGCAACGGGAGAGGCCACAACAGTGAGAGGCCCGCGTACCGCAAAAAAAAAAAAAGAAGAAAGCAAGAAATGAATTCTTCCAGTTGCTCTTAGATTGGGTCTCAGTCGTTACCGTAGCAGTATGTAGAACAGTTGATATCTAGAGACCGTAAACGATATGTGGTCTCTATTTTCTTTGTTTCTATAATTTTAATATCTGAATGGAGTAATAATGGCAGCACAGAAGAAAGAACTTTTAGTTCTTTAGCTTTTAGTTTCTCTGGGGTTAAATTTGGAAAACGATCTCTCTTCAGATGATAAATCAGGAAGTACTGCCCCTCCTTTCCTGGCCCATCAGCCTAAACCCTTGTGCATAGAGCTACTAAAGGTTTTCCTCTTTCCAGAAAGAGGAAGACAGACAAGAGCTGAGTGATTTTTCAGTGTAATTGTTATCCAAGTGAGTGGGTGTTTTCTACGAAAGGGGTTTTCCCCCCACTAATATGGTGGTGGGTCTTTAAGTTGCTGCATTACTGAAAGGAATTAGTGGAAACATTGGAACTCCTTGACATTACGTCTGAAAAGAACTCATTTCAATGTGCTGTTCTGATTTTATTCTCTTTGGCACATCTTTTACCCTTTTGACATTAATGCATACTGTTTAAATATCTGAGTGAAAAGTTACAGGAGAGAAATTCCTGGGTTGCTTTCACTCTGAACAAATGAAGTAAGTTAGCCCAGTTAATCTCCTCAAAAGTCAGCCTGCCGTTTTGTTTTCTAAAGGAGAACATCTAGACTGTGCTGTGGAGTCTAACTATGAATGAAATCTAAGCTGTGTTCTGGAGGTACCGGTGTTGTTTGGAGAAATCCTGGTAGACAGCGGTGTGGTTTTAAACGTGTATTTGGTGTAGTTGAGGGAGAGCTTTGCAGTCAGTACCGCTTGGTGGGCTTGAATCGTGCAAACAGTTGTTTCATGTCTTTCTGTTTTCCACAAGGGCTTTCTCTGTTAGTCTCTTTGCTCTCTGAGGAACAGGTCTGTGTATTATGACATGTTGGACCATGATGTCACTTTTATTTCCATAAATGACTCATGTGTGAGCAAAAATGGAGTAATAGTGTTTTAAGAATAATGTCAGCATGGTAGGGGGTTTAGGCAGATCATTTTGCCTTTTCAAGTTATATTAAAGGCCAGGGGTTGAATATTTCACCTCTGTTTCCTTTCCTACAGAAACAGATGACTATGCTGAGATTATCGACGAGGAAGATACCTACACCATGCCCTCGAGTGAGTAGACTTTTAAATATCTCGTGTTTAAACGGTTTAGGTATTTATTGTCCTTTTAGAACTACTTTTAAGACCTTATTGAGTTAGTAACAGAAATATTCTTTTCAGCCTTTAGAATTCTGTATTGTATGTGCCCACTGCCAGGTCAGAAGCCTGAAACTCAAATATCTATAATAAGTCAGTTCACTTATGGGGTTTTTGTAATCTTGTTTTCTGGCTCTATGATAATATAACCTTTAATGATTAGAGCATTCCCTCTCTGTAGGAAATTAGTATTTAAAGTTAAATATGTATACTCACACATATATACAGCTCTTTGAATACACACATTTAATGAATTGCATTTCCCCTTTGAACTTTCATTTTTTTATTGCCCTTGACTAAGCAATTACAAAGAGCAGCCCGCGTCCAGTCCGTCCAGCTCCGAGTTGGAGGTGTGGGGAGAGAAGGGCTCTTCACTGACCACCCCCCACAGCAGCCTAGCAGTGTCACCCTCTGTGCAGCTTGCTGGTGAAGAGAGTCTGGGAGCCCCAGCCCTTGTGGTGGGGTGTATATAGTCACAGCTCTTGAGTTGGAGACAACCTTGGAATTTCACTCAGGTTAAAAAAAAAAGTTAACCCTACCTCTTAAAGAGGCCCAATTAGGAGTCCACCTTACAGCCTCAGAGGCCTGATAATTCAACATCTGATGTCCTGGTTTCAGTAGAGCTCCATGTATTTGGAAAATAAATGTTTCAGGTGCTTTACCCTGTTGTGTAAATATTTTAAAAGTGGTTCTCAATAGATTTACCATATACATTGAGGAGAGTTACCAAAATAAAGAGAAACAGCCCAGCCCTCTCAGGCAAACATTATCCTGGGTGGACCCTTCCTTTCAAGAGCTCCCAGATTAGTGATTTGAAAGAGGCAAGAGCTGAAAAACTTAAATGTGTTTACTTTGACTTGCAGTAGCAATTTGGAAGAGTGTTTAAATTTAGGTTTAAAGTTTTGGTTAGCCAGTTAGCCATTTGTGCATTCCTGCAGAGCATCCACATCTTTATTCGTGTATTTTCGTAGTTGCGTGGTAAATGTCCAGCATAGCTAACTTTTCTCCAAACCCCACAAATGCGGTTATCGCACAGGAATTTATGGGATAGCAGTGTAAGGCCTGGTGTATCACACTGAGTTAACTCGAGGATGTTACTTGCGTTTGGTGTTTGGTCCTCTGTTTTGACCCGTGTTGATAGTCAAAATATTTAAGAAAGTAAATATTGAAACGTACTCTCCGAGTTTATTGTTGTTAACCTAATTGCTATTAGTTATTTCTAAGCAAGGTCTTCAATTTTTTTCTCTCTTAATTGCAATACAGAAAGCTATGGAATAGATGAAGGTAACAGGATTCCTTTAAAATAACTGCATTTGCTTGCAATTGCAACCGATGGAATGATAACGGGATGTTTCAGTTTTCAGTTAACTTTTATTTTAAAATTTTTTCATTGGTTTACTCATGCTGTTAAATCAATGGAACTACTAGCTAAAGTGATTTTAAAGAGGAAAATAACCTTCTAAAATTTGGGTTGAATTTTCTGTATGATTTATAATTTGACAAATTAGAAGAAATCAAAATACCAAGCAGTTAATTGGATTAGAATCATCCACTAGGTTCCTAGTGGGTATTTTCTTTCCATGTGTCTCAACAGCCTGCTAAATAATTGGTTTTGTATAAATCATAACAATTTAATACATTAATTTGAGGCACATGCTCTCAAAAATATAAAATACTTGTAATTTATTATGTGATACGTTCAACTTTGATTCCAAGTCATCTGATTTTGAAATCAGGTTTTAGAAGCTCCCTCTTTAAACTCTTTTAGCTCCGTGAATAATATAGATAGGATCATAATAAAGTGGAAAACTCTTAAACTTATAAAGCTACTCATGAGACAATTTTTTGTTCCCTCCATATTTACAGACTTTAGTTACTTGTAAAATAATTGCTTTAAATAACTGTTTTTTAGCCTTCATATATTAATACCTGAACTAATAGCTCATATTAATTAAACATACATAAACTTGGAGCAATTATTTAGAAAACCATCAAATAGATAATCAGCTAAATCAGACATTCAAAACTATGAAAAAAATCTACCTTGTATAAAACTCCTCATTTTGGTAATTCAAGCAGTGCTGTAACAGGTACATAAATTCCTTTAAAAATACTGTTTAAGAGAATTCCACTCTGTTTAAAGCATTTTCATAGAATGATGTGCCACCGATGAAGTTTTTACTCATGGATGATGATGACATGAGGTGTGTCCAGTGTTTTCTACACTGGGGATGTTGCACTGAAGTATCTTCTGGTGTGTGGATCATGTTTTGCAGCCAGGGACTATGAGATTCAGAGAGAAAGAATAGAACTGGGACGGTGCATCGGAGAGGGCCAGTTCGGAGACGTGCACCAAGGCGCTTACACGAGCCCGGTGAGTCCTGTCAGACAGCAGCCGAGCCGCTCCTGCTTACGTGTAGGCTGCTCCTGTTCGTCTTCACGGGTCCTTAGTTCTTCAGGGTGTTTGCAGTTGTCCTTCATAAAGCTTATCACGCATGTCGACTCACTTGCTATTTTCAGAAACCAAAAACTGGCAAAATTAGCTCCTGAGAGCTGGGTCTTCTATTCGTTTTAGTCTTTCATCCAGCCTCTGTCATCAGTAATGGATTCCACAGATGATTGTTCCCTTGGGTGCGGTTGACAAATAGATAACAAACAGATGCAAAGTCAACAGCAGTTAGCCAGCATTCCCAATTACCTGCATTCTCAAGAACAGAACATTAATTTGCCCCAAGTTGCCCTCCAAAAGAGATCAGTGAATTTTTTTTAATGATTTATTTAAGAATCATCTCATTGAGATACAGTTCGCATACAATGAAATTCACTCTGTTAAAGTGCACAGTTCAGTGGTTCTTTAGTATATTCACAGAGTTGTACGGCCATCACCACAGTCAATTTTGGAACATTTTCTTTACCTCAAAAGAAACCCCATACCTTGGCGAGGATGTGGAGAAGAGGGAAGCCTTGTACACTGATGGTAGGAATGTAAATTGGTGCAGCCACTGTGGAGAACAGTATGGAGGTTCTTCAAAAAAGTAAAAATAGAACTACCATATGATCCAGCAAGTTCCACTCCCGGGTATGTATCCAAAGAAAACAAAAACACTAATTTGAAAAGATACACGCACCCCAGTGTTCATAGTAGTATTATTTACAATAGCCAAGACATGGAAGCATCCTAAGTGTCCATCAACAGATGAGTGGATAAAGAAGATGTGGTATGTATATGTATACAATGGAATATTATCCAGCCGTAATAAAGAATGAAACTTTGCCATTTGCAACACCATGGATGGACCTGGAGGGTATTATGCTTAGTGAAATGAGTCAAACAGAGAAAGACAAATACTGTTATGTTATCACTTATATGTGGAATCTAAAAAATAAATGAACCAATGTAACAAAACAGAAACAGACTCATAGACATAAAGAACAAACTAGTGGTTACCAGTGGGGAAAGTGGATGGGGGGAGGGGCACGATAGGTACGGGATTAAGAGGTGCAAGCTACTATGTATAGAATAAATAAGCAACAAGAGTATATTGTACAGCACAGGGAATATAGTCAATATTGTATGATAACCTTTTTTATAATAACTTTAAATGGAATATAATCTATAAAAATTTTGAATCACTATGTTGTACACCTTAAACTGATATACTATTATAAATCAACTATACTTCAGTTTAAAAGAAAGAAAAGACAAAAGAAGCCCCATACCTGTTAGCAGTCGCTTCCCATTCCACCCTCTCCCCAGCCCTTGCCAATCACCAGTTTGCTTTCTCTTTCTCTAGAGTTGCCTGTTCTGGACATTTCATATAAGTGAAATCATACAGTGTGTGGCCTTGTATGATTGGTTTCTTTCCATTAGCATAATGTTGTCAGGTTCATCCACGTGGTAGCCTGTGTCAGTACTTCATTTCTTTTTATGGCCAAATAACATCCCATTGTATGGATAGACCACTTTTTGTTTCGCCAGTCATCAGTTGACGGTCATTTGGGTTATTACCACTTTTTGGCTGTTATGCACAATGCTGCTATGAACACTCGTGTACAAGTTTTTGTGTGAACATAGTTTTCGGTTCTCTTGAGTATGTGTGTCTAGGAGTGGAATTGCTGGGTCATCTAGCCACTGTTTAACTTTCTGCCGACCTGCTAAGCTTTTTTCCAAAGAAACTGCCCCAGTTTCAGTTCCTAGCAGCAATGTGTGAGGCTGCCCATTTCTCCACACCCCGACCAACGCTTGCTGTTGTATGTCTTTTTTTATTAGATCAGTAATTTTTCAATGACAGTTTAAAATAACAGTACATACATGTTCAAGAAACTATTTTTAACTAGAATAATGACAGTGAACAGAGATGGCTTTAGTAGGGATATAATAGCACAGATGATTGACCTTTTGTGACCCCCGATATGGAAACTGCAAATGGCAATTTTTCCCCCTGTGTCTCCTTATCTGTCAATTTCCCACATCCTTTACACATGCGCTAGGGATACACTGATCATTACTTTTATAACCGGAGGACTGTAAGTCTTTCCTTCGAGGAAAATAGATAATTGTTGTTAGAGATTCTGTTTTTTAAAGTTCAGTTTTGAAAGTTTTTACCCTTATACTTATATAAAACTATATCGTTTATTATATATTTTTATCCATTATCTCTTTTTCCAGTTTTTTGGTTTTTTTTTTAACTGTATCTGTATTGTTTATCTTCTTAATTCTCTTAACTCTGCTCTTGAGGCAAAATGCATTAGAAAGAGCCCTGGATCTAAATTTGATCAGAAGACCTAAATCTTAGACCTGGATCTACCTGACTGTGAGATGTAAGGGAGGTGAGGCTTCTTGATCTAAAGTATTGGACTTGAACCCAGTGGTCTCTGAGCTTCCTTACACCTCTAGAATCCTTAATAAGCAAGCATTCTGAAGTTCCTGGAGTACAGGGACTTACCAGGATCACACAGCTAACAGCAGGGCTGATAGACTTTATTTCAATCACTTATAAGTAATGCATTTTAGTTGTAAAAATACAAGAGAAGATTTTTTTTCAATATCCATAGTGTTTACTAAGTATTTGTTGAGTGAATCCCAGCCTCCAGGAAAATATCAGTGCTCACCTTTTTTGTTGAATGTCTTTCTGATACACATCGTATGTGAATGCTTGATTATTTTGTTTTTCATTTGGGAATCTAATTTTATAGCCAATTCATTCCTCTAGGTTTCCGTTAAAAATCCTTTTTCCAGATTATGCTCTTTAGTGTTCTGTAAGATGTAATATTTTATCAGGGATTCTTAATAATTGGTCAAATGTAACTCAGCATAGATTTCATGGGCAAGAACCCAGCACTGGTTACGTTATTTGAGATTCAGTGAATTCTTTTAGCAGTTATTTGTCAGTCGTCCCCCAGGTGGCAGCTTGGTGGTGGGGACGTTGTAATGAACAAAACAGTCAGGGTTCCTGCTCTCACAGCCCTTAAATTCTATCTGAGGCACGAGGGGACCGGCAAAGGCAAACACACTGAGTATCAAGTGGGGAATCTGTGCTCCGAGAAAAACAAAGCCTGGGCTTGGGGAGGTCAGGGCCCTCTTCCCGTGAGACGCTGACACGTGAACAAGGAGGGGCAGTCCCTGAGCTCCCCGTGGGGAGTGTGCCAGACAGGGCGGAGCTCCAGTGCAGGGACCCCAGGTGGAGCTGAGCGGGGAAGGAGGACGACGAGGAGAAGCGAGCAGAGGGGGACTGGGCCGGGTGCAGGGGCGGCGCACGGGGCGGCAGGGCAGCCCTCATTCTCAGAGTCATGGGCACGAGGCGTATCTGAAGGCTCCCAGCACACACTTTTCTTTTTTTCTTAGGCCCGGTTATCAGGTTCATTTTTATAATTTGAGCATCGCTGGTCATCTGCGCACGCTCGCATCATTATTATCCTAGTCTTAAAAACCATGCTTTAAATCTATTTTCTCTTAATTCATCCCAGAGCAGTCCTTCTCTAGACTCACTTGTTAAGATCTTTTGAGTGTCTGCTAGCTGTTACTAACTCAGAGCCTCATCACCTGCCCCTCACCTCGGCCTCGTGGACACCAGGGTGGCATTTTCATTCAACATTGAAGAACTGCTCTGTCCCCCTAAACTCTGCTTGTGTTTTAAAGAAGGTAATGAAAATTGTGTCGTGAGCAGTTACCGAGATGTGTTCGCATCTGCCCCCTTTTAAAGGCTTTTAGAAAACCCTGTGCTCAGTTCTGGTCTTGCGTGCTGTGGACTGACATCTTCTTCTCCAGCATCAGGTCTCTGTGACCAGCCGCTCTGACAGCTCGGCACCCCCCAGGCCTCTGCAGCCTTGGGCCACTAGTCACCGGGCCTAGTCCATGGACTGATGGCCGAGACACCTGGTCTGCTCACGTACACCCCTTTGTAGACATGCGGCCTGTGGAAACTCAGGCTTAGCACCCACTCGAAACTATGCATTTTTAGAGAGCAGTATTTTCCTTGTGTTTCTTTACTGTCTTAATAAAGCACCATGTTCAATATTTGAGTTGAATTGACAGGATTGATGATGACTTATGTTCTTACAGAAGTTTCTGTTGTTATTCAGATCTCCTGTAAAATGGGCATTTTGTGTCATTTCTCAGGTATACCAATCAGCCTTATGCACATAGAGGTAGAATTCATGGTGCTGGTCCTGGAAGTTTGCTGTGTAGTTACAGAGGACAGACTAAGTCATTCAGAGCAGAGTGGTTGCATTGAGGTGTCCTGGGTTGCTAGTGACTCTCAGAAGGCCCCAAACTCAGACGTTTAACAGATGGGCCTCTGTGCCAGCAAGCTGCCGTCCCACCGACATCTCAAGCCTGTCTTGTCCAGAGCTGGGCTTCTGATCTCCCCCTTCTCTCACCAGAAACCTGAACTCACCCTCCCCGACGCCCAGCCCGCTGTCTTCCTGCGCCCCCCCACCCCGCCTCCGTGGCGCCTTTCCTCACCTCCCCTTCCGGGGGGCCTCTCACTTAGGGTAGAAGCCACAGGGTCTGACCCCTCTCTCCACCCCTGCCTGGTATCCCCTCCCCTCCAGCAGTTCTTTGTTCTCATCCCCTCTCTTCTCCTCTCCTCTCGGGGAGGTTACCTTCTAGCCCGCTCCAGTCCACGATGGATGTCTCGTTCACCGTGTTTGTCTGTATCCTCCTCTGGGATGTCAGCTGGAGTAGCACAGGGGTCGCCGGCCCTTGTTCACTGGTGCAGCCTAAGCCCCTACAGGAGTGCCCGGCACTACGGAGAGGAAATGTCTGTGGAACAGACGAATCGCCTGCAGCGTTTTACATGCACGTCTGTTTTCTGGGGTTTTTCTACAGAGGATTTTAACTGTTCCTCTCACTCTTGAGATTGTACAATTCTGGTTCTGTCTGATCCAGAATCCAGAGTTGCAGAATAAACAGCCTGTTCTCAACATGCCCATTGATTAACATAGAGACCCTCTTGTTGCATGTGTCCCCGTCACAGGAGAATCCAGCTTTGGCGGTTGCAATTAAAACATGTAAAAACTGTACTTCGGACAGCGTGAGAGAGAAATTCCTTCAAGAAGCCTGTAAGTTTCTAGAAATGTCTGTGGAACTCCATTTGACTTTCTGTGAAATCCAAACTGTCTCTGAAGATGTAAGAAAAATAATGTTTTGACTTTTAATGAGACAACTACATTTATTACCCTGCCATGCAATTAGTATCTGTGTTTGTAGAGGCACGTGTCTACAGAGTTTCCCAGGTCAGCTGTCATGTTTGGGATGTAAAGGCAGATTGATTTCCTGTCCCTTCATCCTCCGGTACCTTGCACCATAGCCACCTTCACCCTGGCATTGGGCAGATATATAGAGATGCCAGCAGGCCCTGGAGTTGGAGGTGGGTGGGACAGACACAGTCCCTGCGGGATGGAGCCCGCGGATAAGTGCGGGAGAGGAAACCCTGCTCGTCCCGAGGGGGCTGCTGTGGAGAGCTGTGTGTGATGGGTCCTCTCTCCTGAGTGCAGACCCTCAGAGAGCCAGGATCTGGTCCTGCCCGTTTGCACTCATCAGGCTGTTTCCCTCCTGCCCTCAAACTGGGTCGTCTTCCTGCTTCCGTTCGGCTTGTCCGTTCTGACCACATACTTTAATAGTGTCTCCTTAGGAGGCTTTGTCACAGGGCCCTGCTCTTTCCCTTCCTAAGTGTCCATAATTAAATATGCATTGTCTAGGGATTTCCCTGGCGGTCCAGTGGGTAAGACTCTGTGCTCCCAGTGCAGGGGACCCGGGTTCCATCCCTGATCCGGGAACTAGATCCCACACGCGTGCCGCAACTAGGAGTCCTCATGCCGCAAAAAAAAGATCCTGCATGCCACAACAAAGATCCCGCATGCTGCAACTAAGACCGGGTGCAGCCAAAGCAAACAAACAAACAAATAAATATATACATACACACGCGCACACACGCGCACGCACACGCACACACTGTCTAAAAGTTACTCTTGTCTCTGTCTCCCTCTAGACTTTAAGCCCCAGTGGGGCAAGGAACGTCTCTCTTCTGCTCACCGCTCAGACCCAGAGACAGCACAGGGCTTAACTCATAGAAGGCACTCAGTAGCCACTGGTCGTGTGAATGAGTCTTGGTGCCCTTCATCACATGTACATTGAATTTCAGAAACATTTACCACCCAGTAGTCCAGTAAGTCACAAGTCATGGATGAGTCATATTGTGAGTTCATCAGTTAAGTCGCAGCAAGTCCTAGTCCTGTCCCTGGATCTTTGACTTAAGTACAAGACAAGGCCTGGTGATGACTTCTTTCTTCAGGGCATCTAGGCCAAGAAAACACAGAATATATATCAGCCATCATTACCTAACAGCCTGTCCGCCTTACCTTTTGTGGTAAAGTGCATTATATATTTTCAAAAATGCACATTTTTTAAACGGCTTCTCCTTCTCTAAAATTTTTATGAACAGTTATTGTATCGTGATTTCTGTAGGGCTTTGGAATCACCATTACAGAAATCAACTTTAGAGTTTCACAGGAGTAGTCAGTTCAAACTAACCTTGTTCTCTTTTTGAAAGGCTGTTATTTCAGAGAAACGTGATGGATGTAGTACACCTAAAATCCTGTGGGGCTTTGACAGGCTCTATACGTAAGAGGGGAAGTAAACTTTTTCTATAAAGGACCACATAGTAAATATCTTAGGCTCTGCAGGCCAGATGGTCTCTCGGCACAACTGCTCAGCTCTGCCATCAGGGTGTGAAAGAGCCACAGACAGCACGTAAAGGGCTGAGCAAGACTCTGTTCCAGTGAAATTTCGTTTGTGAAAAGCAAACAGCCGCCCCTATAGCCTGAGCCCCTTGCCCTGGGTGGATGAATAACAGGTCAAACCGCTACACCTATTGGGTTTTAGTTCAGCAGGGATAGAGTTTCCTAGTGACCACAAGATTCTCCTCTTAGCCCTGTACTGTGTAGTATTTTTAATAATTACTTCTGTAAAGGGTAACATAAAACCAAAAATGATGGTAAGACAATTGAAAATGAGTGAGTATACTGGGTTCCTGAATGTTTATCCAGAAATATCACATTCTACGTAAGTGATGAACTGCATTGACAGGATGAAACTCAGTGATAATATCACATTATACGTAAGTGATGAACTGAATTGACAGGATGAAACTCAGTGATAATATCACATTATACGTAAGTGATGAACTGAATTGACAGGATGAAACTCAGTGATAATATCCCATTATACGTAAGTGATGAACTGCATTGACAGGATGAAACTCAGTGATACGTTTCGGATTTTGTGCCAGGTGTTTATGTGGGGAGGGTTGCTTGTTTGTTTGTTTGTTTTTAACTACCAGGTCCTATTCTTCGAATATGTAGGCAAACTTGAGGGGGAGAAAATACCTTAAGGGTTTCAGTTCTCTCAAGTGAATGTGGGGTGACTTTGCAAGAAGCCAGTGTAATCCTTGGGTGCGTTGGTAGGATATACAGTCCTCCATATCCGCAAGTTCTGCATCTGCAGATTCAACCAACTTCGCTTGAAAATATTTGGAAAAAAAATTCCAGAAAGTTCCACAAAGCAAAAACTTGAATTTGCTGCGCTCTGATATCTATTTACATAGCGTTTACATTGTATTAGCTATTACAGGTAATCTAGAGATGATTTAAAGTATAAAGAGGATGTGCGTAGGTTACGTGCAAATACTCTGCCATCTTTCAGAAGGACTTGAGCATCTGCAGATTTTGGTTTCCCCCTGGGGGTTCTGGAACCAATCCCCTGTGGATACTGAGGGACGGCTATAGGGTGTCTAGAGTGAAAACAGTGAGAGGCCTGTCTACTCCAGACGTATCCAGCACTGAGTTGCAGTCCACACTGGGCTCCATACTAAAATGGATACTAAAAGATATTTGCTCCTTCTGTGATTCTAATGTCCTTGCTTGGCATCATAAAAATCAACCCCAGGGCTTCCCTGGTGGCGCAGTGGTTGAGAGTCCGCCCGCTGATGCAGGGGACGCGGGTTCGTGCCCCAGCCCGGGAAGATCCCACATGCCGCAGAGCGGCTGGGCCCGTGAGCCATGGCCCCTGAGCCTGCGCGTCCGGAGCCTGTGCTCTGCAACGGGAGAGGCCACAGCAGTGAGAGGCCCGCGTACCGCAAAAACAAAAACAAACAAACAAACAAAAATCAACCCTGTATTGGTCCCCAAAATTTAAAAAAGTTTTCTTCATTTCAATAGTCTATGAAGTCCAGGTACTTTGGGGACCACTGCAGTGGGTCACATGTAAAGTCACTTCCCGTTTTGAGGTTCTGGAGTTCTGTGAAGGTTGTCCTGCTTCTCACTAATCCTAGTCAGTGTACTGTGCAGGTGAGCTTCTTAGCCCTGATACTAGATGTTAGAAATGTATACACACTTAAAAATACACACCCACACATAGGTATGTGCGTATATGTGCAGGGCCCTCTTGGTCATCTTGGGCTCAGTGAGGCAGTCACACTCACGTGACGGCCACAGGCCATATCTGGCATCAGACTTTCTTTGAGGGGAGTGCAGGACTGGAAATAGCAGGCCAGCATTTCTCCTGTAGGGAAGTCCTCACAGCAGTCCGGGAACTCGTTTGCTTAGCCCTGATAGTGATCAGGTACTGTGAGGGGATGAGGCCACAATGGTGGACTCAGGAGCCACCCGGGTCCAAAGTAGAAGCCCTCACAAACCCGCCGCTGTGGGCTCTGGGGCTCTGCAGGGGACACCCAGCCACACCCACGCTCAGGGGAGCTCTTGCTACCTCATCAGCAACTTACCAATCAGGGGTGGTTTTTACCATGAAGGGTATTGCTTAGAAAATGAACCACACATTCCAACTTCATGAGATTTCCAAAGGAAAACCTAGAAAGTTAGCCCCAGGTCAGATTTGTCTGTGGAAAATAAGAGGAGGTTTTCTTAACCCTTAGCTCTCACCGTAGGTCCCCCTGTAAAGTTGCTCACAAGTTCACTGCAGTGGCATCTTGTGCCTCACGGGTCTGCTTTTTTTGTGCCATTTTATGGCGACTTGTGAGCTGACCTGACCGGTGGGATTGAATTCCCAGTTGCCACGTCATTAGCCTTTTTGAGTTTTTTTTATTCTTACTTTTTGGCTGTGCCACACAGCTTGTGGGATCCTAGTTCCCCGACCAGGGATTGAACCTGGGCCCTGGCAGGGAAAGCACCGAGTCCTAACCACTGGACTACCAAGGAGTTCCCCATTAAAATGCCTTGAGTCTTATTTGAACTAGTCTAAAGGAAACTGAAATATCTTCAAAAGACTGACCGTGGACCACTGTTTTCCCCCAGTAACAATGCGTCAGTTTGACCACCCTCACATTGTGAAGCTGATCGGAGTCATCACAGAGAACCCCGTCTGGATCATCATGGAGCTGTGCACGCTCGGAGAGGTACCTGCCCCACCTCTGCCTCCCGCCCGCTCCGCCTGCCCCCTCGGGGAAGTGTGCGACATACACCCTAGTGAATATGAGTAGAGCGTCTGCATCAGTAAGTTCCCAAGTAATCCCCTAACTCAGTGCTGGCAGCAGTGTCTTCCCATCCAAAGGATTTGTCAGGACTGGAAGCAACAGGTGATCAAGCGGTTCTTTTTTCCCTCTCTGTTGCTGTTGTCTGAAGAACAAGCCCAGGGATTTGAGAGTGAAAGAAGTAACGTTAGTGGAGTTTGGGTAAATTAAGGGTGAATTTACGTAGATCAGAACAGTTGCTTCATCTTTTTGGGTATTCACTTTTCAGTGTCTTTCAGACCAACTCATGTTAGTCACAGTTTCTTTTTAAAACGTGAGTAACAGACTGTGGGCCGATGTCCTTATTTGACTCTGTCTGGATCACAGAAGCTCTTGAGTCGGTGTATCACCACCGCCTGGACGCTGGTCCCACCCGGGCCTGCTGAGCCACACAGCCTCTGTTTGTGTCCCCAGGCTGCTCTGTGGGCCCCTGCTTGGGGCAAACACGGCAACTTTCGAGATGTCTACACATGACTCTGTGGCACTGAAACCTAGTAGTTTAACCTTCTGACACATTATACACGTTACTTCGTCTTTGAAGGACACCAAACAGTCTTGCTTTTAATGAAAATTGGGGTTTTCTGTTATCAGGAACCCGAGGGTGCTTTGGGCCCGTCATCCTCTTCGTGACGGCGTCAGCCCTGCCTTCCGAGGACAGGCCACTGCCTGGCGCCTCCCACTGCTGTCCTCTTCAGCTTGGGTAACAGAGTTGGCGAGTGAAATATCTGAGGGCCTCTCCGGTGTCTTTCCTTCCTCTACCATGCCTTGCCAAATAAAATGGAGTGTTTACGGATTTTTTTGGTTCACATTATTTTTCTGCTTTTGTTTTTGGAGAGTTTGCTAATTCTTCTGGCTTAAATCATCAATATTTCTCCTTCGTGTAGGAGATTTTGTAGGATTGGAGTGTTAAATTCATCAGCCTTCTTTGCTGTATTATTAGCATTTAGCTGAATTAGTCATGATAGCGGTAGTAAGGACCAGTAAGCCTAGTGCGTAAATACCCAACACGGGACCGTTTTATCCTTCTTCACCCAGAACCTCCTGGGGGCAGAGGGAGAACCTCTTGCCTCCCCTTCCTTTTCACCCCCTTGTGCTCAGGTCTGCCTGGGGCATGGGGAGGTCTGAGGGAGGTGGACTGACCATGGCTGTGGAGGAGGCTTGTTTTAACGGTAACTGGAGCTTTTTGTTCTCCAGCTCTCATTATCTGGCAGTATTTTATACTGTGCCTTTATTCATTCCCTGGAAGCATCTTTCTGTATTTTTTCAGAAATGTGTCTAGAATCATGAAGATTCCAATTTTGCAATTGGATCTCAAGTAAAGAATGATTAACCATAATTTCTGAGCTGATATGTTTCTTTCATTATGCTTTTTTTATTAGGGTAGAATTGAAGCCATTCTCATAAAAATGCATTTGGAAATGATCAGCATTGTTTTTGAATATAGCTCTTCTGCTGTTGATTTTTAGTCTCTGACACTAACTCTTTCTCTTTTTTCTTTTTTGGTCACTGTTCAAAAAGCTGAGGTCATTTCTGCAAGTAAGGAAATACAGTTTGGATCTAGCATCTCTGATCCTCTATGCCTATCAGCTTAGCACAGCCCTTGCGTACCTAGAGAGCAAAAGATTTGTGCACAGGTGAGACCCAGGTGTGAAGCTGGTGAGCTGCCTCTGAGCAGGAAGGAGGTGGGGAGAGGTTCTCACTGTGCCCTGAGACCTTTCGTTCCCCCAACTCTCGTACACGGATGGCACTAAACGTCCTGCTGTGCGTATCCCAGCCGAGTGTGGTGCCCTGGCGTGGGAACACATGGATTTGAGGGGTTTTTCCTCACGTGGAGTATGAAACAGGTCCATTATTCCTTCCACAAATACTACTGACAGCCTCTACGTGGCACTATGGACCTAAAACAGATATTGTCCTGGGACTTTCCAGGACACCATAGCGCCAGGAGTGACATCTGTTGGCCTTCTGCAGAATTTCTATTCATAATCTGGGTCTCTCATTTGAATACAAGTTAAAGCCCTTACAACTTATTTGCCTTGCATTGTGTTAGAGTTTTGTTATCCGGCACTGAAACGGACTGCATCAGCAAAATCGTTTACAAGTGTTCCAAAGATCATTTTACTTTCATTAATGAGGTTTTTTAGTAACCGTAGAGTTACACACCCTGGTCGTGTACTGTCTATCAGTTAATGGAGCCGGCAATATGATTGCATGAAAACTAATAAGTGGTTTCATTATTTGAGAATATTCTTCACCATCATTCAAAGTAATAATCACCATATTAATGAGTAAATATCTGCCAAAAGGAATATATTTGAAGTAAAGTAATAAGAGTGTCTCTCTTTTTCAGTGTATAGTAAAGCTCTGGTTTGTATTGTATATAAGCTGTCTTTCAGAGTACCTGTATGTTTTTATATAATATAGATGAGTTTGTGGGGGTTTTCCTTTGTATTAAAATGTATCGTCCCAAATTCTTCCTTATCAGGGACATTGCTGCTCGGAATGTTCTGGTGTCCTCAAACGACTGTGTAAAATTAGGAGACTTCGGCTTATCCCGATACATGGAAGACAGCACTTACTACAAAGGTAAGAAGTCAGAGCAGCAAATCAGAAACAGGCTCAGGAGCTTTAATGATTTTTAATTCTGAAAAAGGTACATTCTAATATGCTCAGCTGATTTTTGACAGTGGTATACAGTCAGGTCCGTGGAGGAAAGACAGCCTTCTCAACAAAGGTGCTGGAGCAGTTGGTCATCCCTGGCCAAGAAATGACCCTCAACCTGAACTCACTCGCCATTAACTCAAATGGATCATAGACTTAAATATAAGACATAAAACTATGAGACTTCTAGGAAAAACATAGGAGTAAAGTTTTCGGATCTAGGGCCAGGCAAAGAGTCCTTAGGCTTGACACCAAAAACATACATAAAAGGGAAAAATTGATAGCTTCTTCCTCATCAAAATTTAAAAGTTTTGTTCTGCAAAAGACCCAGGCAGAAGGATGAAAAGACAAACTACAGAGTGGGAGGAAGTATTTGCCAACCACATGTCTAACAAAGGACCGGTGTCTAGACTACAGATAGAACTCTCAAAACTCAGCAGTAAAAAAAGAAAGGACACAGATAGAAAGTGGGCAGAAGATATGAAGAGAGACTCCACCGCAGGGGGTATTCAGATGGCACATAAGCACGTTACCCACCAGGGAAATGCAGAGTGAGCCCACGGGGTGGTATCGTGCACACCTGTCAGGATGGCTAAGGTAACGGTAGTGACAACACAAAATGCTGGCAGACACACAGAACGTAAATTGCTTGTGCAGATGTAAAATGGTACAGCTGCTCTGGAAAAGAGTTTGGCAGATTCTTAGAAAACTAAACATGCACCTCCCATATGACCTAGCTATTACACACCTAGGCATTTCTCCCAGAGAAATAAAAACTCACATTTATACAAAACTGGTGTTTGTTCATTGTAGCTTTATTTCTAGCAGCCAACAGCTGGAATCAGCCGGGATGTCCTCCACTTCGTAGACACAGCTGGTAACCTCCCCGCAGAGTGGTGGGTGCCCTGGCTCAGTGCACGCCGCCGGACTTACAGATCTGCAGTCTGCTGACTCCAGAGACTTTGATCCTTTAGCTTTGGAGCTGGACTCTAGCTGAAGGGATTTTTTCTTCAGTTTTCCCAATCTTGGAATCAGATTGACTTGGTTCTAATTTTCATATTCCTGGTACTTCAGCTAAGGTTTGGATTATACGTCCATATTACGCTTTTAGTATATTTTCTAGTTATTACCACCATTTTACAAAGGCCAGTTTCTTGCTCAGTTTGATTTTCGTATTGTCGCAAGATGAGCCCTAATCTTACGTACAGAATTAGTCTTTTTCATTTTATACTGTAGCTGATGGCAGTTCTCCGTCCAAATGCTTTCTGTATACTACAGCCTGATCCTTTTTATGTGGAAGGAAAAGTCTGGTTGTTTATTCATTTTGATTATGTAGTCATTTAATTTAAAAACGACCAAGCCACCTTTCCACTGTTTTAAAATACATTTCCTATTACCTCACATCCTGACTAGTCCAAACCCTAGAATTCCACTAAAGGGCTAAACTCCAGACAGCACGGTGGCCAAGACTCTACATCATCTAGACAGCACTTCACGTGGGCAACTGACGAGTTCACACATTGTTATCTCAGAGAGGTCACTAAGCCTAGATCCTGCCAGGCTTCAGGAGAACAGCCCCTCGGGGTTAGGGTTCCTCGCCTGGAGCGCAGCTGGAGAGTCATTTGTTGTGAGGGAATCAGAGGCTTTGACCTCGGTTGTCATGAAGGTGCATGAAGTTCAGTGGAAGAAAATTAATGAAACAAATGTAATTGTCTTCCGATTAAAAGTCTTGAGAGCACCCTTGCTTATAGAAGAGAGCCCGGCACCCTAGCACCCTGCTCCGGGCCCTCTGGATCAGGGCCTGTCCCCGCCTGGCGCCGGCAGCCCCTCCTCCCCCCGCCCCTCCCCCTGCCACACCCTCTCACTTCCGCTGGATTTGAGAAACTGTTTCTGCCTTTTGGAATTAGGACTCCCTGAGGGCTGGTATCTGGTGAAAGAATGTTGAGGGAGGTGGCACAGAGGAAGGATCTTAGGCCTCTGAAGAGAGCCAGTGCCAGGCTTTCGGAGAGTGTCCTTTGTGCTCTGTCGCCCTCCCGCCCTTCACGTCCTGGTGGTGGCACAGTCCGTCCTCACACTTTGTGGATTCTGTGTTTGCACGCTCGTGTGCTTGCTGAGACATGTAACTTGCGGAATCCACACTCCGATGCCTTCATAGTCAGGCATGGGTGTGCCCAGGGCAGCGACAAAGTGTCCGTTTGGGCTGGTGGACAGCGAGTGGGGGGCAGCACCTCTGGCTCTGGGCCAGTCGGGCAGGCTGGAACCCCAGCTGTGGCCCCTGCGTGCGGGGCCGGGGGGCGGGGAGCAGGGCCTCAGGCAGGTCAGCAGCACATCCATACCTCATTTTCCAAAGAAGTCAGAACCTACCAGGATAAGTTTGTAGGACTTACGGTTATAATCTGTGTGAGGTACGGATATGTATGTACACATTTCTCCCGGGAGCAGTGGTTCGGTGTTCAAAGCGACCTTATAGAGTAACTACCGTGAATGAGAATTGACTGTGTGTGGCTACCAGGCCATTTCTAAAGCCAGGCCTCCAGCCTGTAGATGAAGCCGGCACAACTGAGCTGGGAGCTGATGCCTCCCGGTAACCGGGCCGCCCTCCTCCCCTGCTCCCTGCCTCTCCTCTGTCACCCCCAGATGACCCAGCGTCAGGGAGTGCAAGGCAGTTCTCCCAAAGATTTTGGTACTAAAAATCTCAGCTAGCTCTGTTAGATTCCTGAGCAGGTGACAGGGAAGTTTTACTTTCTAAAATTAATCTTCTAGCTTCCAAAGGAAAATTGCCTATTAAATGGATGGCTCCAGAGTCAATCAATTTTCGCCGTTTTACCTCAGCTAGTGACGTATGGATGTTTGGTGAGTATTTGAAAACTTTCGTGTTAGAATTACAGTTCACATATTCTCTGAGAGGGATTGAGCTCTGTGTGTTGTCAGAGTCTGTAGGTTGGTTTGCCTTCCCTTGCCTGGCCTCCCTCACTGCTCGCCTGCGCCCTCCCCGGTTCCTTAGACATGGGCGTGTGCCGTGCGCCCAGGCGGGGCCCGCGGGGCCCAAGGTCCTGCCCCTAGCCCCTTCTCACTCCGCCTGCCTCTCTCTCAGGGAGGTGCTGTGTCCTCCCTTCTCTCCTGTCTCCACGGCCTCAGACATTCCTTTTATGTGAGTGACGTAAATGGTTAACCTGTCCGTGCGGTTCTGCGACGGCCCCCAGATCCAGCATGTCTAAGATTGCCCTTCATCTCTGTTCTGGAATCTGACCCCTTCCTGACTTGTCTCAAGTCTTGGAAGCGTGACCCTTCATGTTCTGTAGCTGCTGCTGCTCTGGTGTCCACTGTGTCCCCTCCTTCCTGCTCCAAGTCCGTCCCTGTCGTCGTCCTCCTGCGCTGCATTCTTGCAGAGCCCCCAGTGGAGCGAGAGTGTGGCTGTCGTTCACTCTGCAGTACTTAACTTCTACTACCTTATCCGGATTTTTAAATCACTCACCTTTTTGGTGTGGATGACACTCCATCCCCGCCCCACTTTCCTGGTGTTACTCCTTCTTTCTGGACACCTCATCCTGACACCTTCTCCTCCGGTTGAAACTCTTTTTAACCTTCAGGAAGAGGTTGGAAAGAGTTTCTTCATTCACCTGGAATATCCGCTCTGCCATGAAGCCCCAGGTAGCAGGTGTGCCGTCCAGGCATAGACTCCCTTTCTCTGCTTTCCCAGCGTTTCCTCTCTGTGTCCAGACACTCACGTGTAGATCTTGTGAATAGTCCTGTGTGCATATTTTCTCTGCCGGATTTTAAACTGCTTCCCAGGAGATGCCCTGTTAAGTTTGTGCACCTTCTTTTTCCTGTAAATAAAAATAACTTTACGTACATGAAGTACGTGTTCTCATTTTTTCTTCTGCTTCCTTGCTGTTGACTTTCAGTAACCATTTAGTGCCCTAACTGATATGAGGTAAAGGAAGGAATTCAGTAAAACAGGAAGTGGTGTGACATGATTGGAGAAGGCACTGGAGTCCAATTGGCTTCAGATCCCAAGACCTCACCTGTCAGCTTTGTGACCCATAGAGCAGGTTACTTGTCCTCTCAAGAGGACTTCACATTTCAAAGGGTCTAAGATGCCTTTTTTTCACATTTCTGGAAGTAGGATTTGTCACCAATCAGTGGCATTTCACAGTTGGTGTTAGTCGGGGGTGTGTTAGTCATGTGGGTCCTCACCTACACGCATGTAGACTGTTTTGTTCATATTGGTGCTATTTTCTTGTCCGAATGAGTTTAAAACCGCTCTTTGGTAAGAATAAAATAATTCTAAGAGGTAACAAAGGATCACATTACAACTTAGTGGGCAGCATATCCCCCCCTTTTTGGATGAAATAATAGTGTCTCTTATAATCATGGCACCTCAGATTTGATAAAATACAGTTTTTAAAGAAATGTAAGGTGTGAGAATTAAAGATAGTGTAAACTTCAAGGAAAGGTGCCAGAGACATATGAAGGTCTCGAGAAATGATACCCAGTGTTGTTATTACTCATGATGTTGTCATAATTTCTGGTGAGAAAAGCAGAACTAAGGCATTATTTTTGTCATATACTCTTTACTTTGAAGTTGTTGGACTTTTGGCTAATTTCAGATCTAACTCACATTAATGTGATATAATGGCATAATGGTATATGCCTTCCTCCTCTGAGGCACACAGCATCTTAGGTGCTGAAGATACAGAAAGACAGTCACAGCCCCTCTGCCCCCAGGACCCGGTGTATGGGGCACGCTTGCTGTGGGTTAGACGGGAGCTTCCCAGGGGGCAGGGCAGGCAGCACAGGAAACTCACAAAGGGACCTGGAAGAAGAGAACTGGTGGAGAAGAAAATGAAAGGCATCGAATCTAGAATTCAGCACAAGCCGAGTCACGAAGGAGTGTGTTCAGGTGCAGGTCTGAGTGGCCAGAGTGCCAAGTGATGGGAACCTGTAGAGGAATCTGAGTATTCTGAAAGCATAAGACTTAAGTTGCAGGGTTTTCTTTGTTAAGCTTCAAGCCAGCTGCTGTGATGATAAGCAGGTTGGACTAAAGTGGAGGGAAATCTAAAATCTAAAATCTAAAAAGCATTCAGCTTTTTTTTGAATTGGTTCACTAAACTATGCTATGAAATATCACTGTAGCTGGTGGGCCATTTTCTAATGGAGAATTTTTTAGAGAAATAAACCTCTTAGAAAAGTAATGGGTTTTTTCTTGATAATACTGTTTCATTATTCGCATCATACTAAATTAGTATTCCTGTTCTTACTTGATAACAGAGCTAACTGAACGCGGCTCTATTTGGCTGATGTGCCCGTAATCACACAGGAGGTTCTGTCGTACGAACTATGAAGTTATTCCTGAAACGTGGGAATCGCACTCCTGCTGCTAAGTTTACCATTGTGTTTTCGTCCCCGCCTCGCAGGTGTGTGTATGTGGGAGATACTGATGCACGGTGTGAAGCCCTTTCAAGGCGTGAAGAACAATGATGTGATTGGTCGCATTGAGAACGGGGAGAGGTTGCCCATGCCTCCGAACTGCCCTCCCACCCTCTACAGCCTCATGACCAAGTGCTGGGCCTACGACCCCAGCCGGCGGCCCCGCTTCACTGAGCTCAAAGCTCAGCTCAGGTAGGATGGGGGGCGGGGCTGGGGCGGGGCCGGGGGCGGGGCGGGCAGGCCTCCACTGCTTCTCCCTGGCAGGTCCTTTTATCAGTACGGCAAACCTGTTTCTTGGGCAAACGTAATTACTTCTTTATGGATTTGTATTTATTTATACATTGTTAGAGCCTTAAGAAGATTATGTCTTCAGGTCTTAATAAACTTCAAATTGTGATCAGGTGTCTCTGCCCTGACTGCTGACCAACGTGGCACAGCCCACAGGCTCTGCGTGGTCTAGTCCCCGCCCACTCCCCAGTCTCGCCTCACACCATCCCTTCCTCTGCTCCAGAGGCACCCGGCGCTTCTGCCTTCCCCCGCTTGCCCGCAGGGCGCTTCTCTTCAGTCTTTGGAGCCCAGCTCAGGGTTGCCTCCTGCAGGAAGCCTGCCTCATCTGCCCCACCCCCAAAGAGCTAGCCCCTCCTATGGTACCTCTTCAGCGCTCTGTTGTTACAGCTCAGCATCCACGTTACCTGTTCAGCTGCCGTCTTGTGACTCCTACTTCGTGCCAGACGCCATTAGACCCAAACCTCCAGCTGCCCCCAGTCCCCTGGCAGGAACACACGGACTTCTTAGTGTGCTGGGCGGCCCCACAGGGTCTGCGCAGAGCTGACCTGCTACTGGCCAGACTCAGAGGCCTCGACAGGTGGCCCTCATCCCGTCTTGCTCATTTCTGGAGGCCTGGGGCAGAGCTTAGGACCAGCACCTGGTCAGTGCTCAGTAAACACTTGTCGAACTAAAGTCTAGATTGAGACTTAATACTTTAATCAACAAGATATTTTAGTATAATACATAACCAACCAGCCAACGCCATGGTTTAATGTGCTGTTTCATGTTTGGAGTACTCCCCTGATTTTATTTGAGTTTTGTTATTTGCTATATTCTCGTCATTTTTCATAAAAATTACCAAATGTCAGGGTCCAAAAGCCCCCGGCAGCTCCTCTAGCCCACCCCTATCCCCCAGCGCTTGAACCCTCTCAGCCTCCCCTCCCCTCCGGCAGCGCCACCTGCCCGGCTGACGAGTTTCCTCCAAAGAGAATGTTTCTGGGAAGGAGCAGGGCCTTAGTGAGAAGTGGGAGAGATTTGTCCAGTCAGCAGCTGTTTTGCTAAGTGTCTCCTTTGTTCTAAGCTAGGTTCTGTTGGCCCAGCAGTGAGCAAAACACAGTCCTGCCCCCAGCGTCTGAAGTCCGGCCGAGGAGGTGGGGGTCGGCACCATTGGCCGCACGGTGACACCCCTGACGCTCCCCCTCCGGGCCCGCTTCCGGGGCCTCGCGCGTGACGGCCGGCCCCTCAGGTCTTTCAAGACAGCTTTCTTCAGGCTGGAGCTCTCCAGGTTCTTAATTCTCATGCAGCTTAGTTATACCTGCTGTCCCTGTTGGAGCTGGTTTTCGAACATGCTTCATTTCGTGTTTTGCTCATACATTTTTTTGTTCCTCCTTGACCGTTGCTCAGAATCTGATACATTCTGTCCATGAAACCCCCCCTCTGATACCAGTTCCACCTGCCCGCCTCCCCGGCGCGTTCTTCCCCCTTACTCTGGGTATCCGCCGGCTTCTCTCCGCAGCCTCCTCCCCTCCGCTCAGTACTTCTCCTTGGTTGGTTGTCTTAACTGTTCCTGTGGCTTCGCTCCCCACCTCCGTCTGTCTTTAGCTTCAGTCCTGCCTTTTCCCACAAGTCCCAGACCTGTGTCTTCAGTTGGAGGACATCGTGTTTATCCTGAAGCAAAGCCGTTACCGTCTCCTCTTGCCTGCCTCTTGCCCCTCAGCTTGTGTAGGTTACAGTGGGGCCTTTGTCTCCACCTGCCTCTGGGAGCCATCAGTAACTCCTCGCCCGCCTGTGCCAGCTGGCCAGCCGGAGCATCCTCACCTCAGGGTCTTCAGACCCACTCCCTCCTCCCAGGTCTCCTCGCCACCCCGCCCCCGGCCCGCATACTTCATCAGTCAGTCTTACCAAACATGTCGAAGTGGGAGAGTAACTCCCTTGCTCAAGACAACTTTCAGTGGGTTCCTGGCACCCCCGGTGTTAGTTTGAGGCTTCCAGAGTAGCACTTAAGGCTCCTTGAGTTACGGCCAGTGTCTTTCCATCCCTTTCTCACACTGTGGCCAAACTGACCACACGCCTCCGCCAGGAAGGCCTCCTCTGCACCTGCTGAAATCAGCCCTACTGTCTTCCTCAGCCTCTTTCCCTGCTCCGCCCGTGGGCTGTCCAGAACTCTTGCTGCTTCTGGCCGTGCCCGCCCTGTGGGCCGCAGATGGCCACATCCCGGTCCAGTCAGCTCCACAAACACTGAGCACCACGTAGCTGGGCCTGGTGCTGGTCACTGGGCAAGAGAACCCAACACTTTTCCTGCCCTCGAGGAGCTCACAGTCTAGTACGTCTCATCCCCTACTAGACTGAAGCTCCTTGAGGACAGGGATCGTCATACTCACCTCGGTGTTGCCCACACCCCAGGCCAGGAGCTGGACCCCGTGAGGACCAGACAGCTGCTGAGTTCACGCTTAGCTCTCACAAAACTCATGCTGACACTGGCCGGAGGACTGTTGCATTAAGGTGGAGCAGCTCCAAAAACTGTCCCAGGTGAAGGCTTAGAACTAAATATAATTATTTTATACACACACACGTATAAAAACATCATGTACCTATTTATAGACGCTTTCTTGTGAACAATTAGTCCAGATTATTGACCATTAGTTTGTTCTGTCTGTTTTGTGTTAGTCAGAAATGGAGTTTAACTTTGTATTTGGAACATGTAGAACATGGCTACCAAATAAGCCAAATAAAACGTAACTTTATAATATACTAGCTGCTTGGACACCTATATGTAACAGTGTATCACAAGTAATCAAACACGTTCTTTATTGAGTTTTTTAAAATGGTTATTATATCCAAGATTCTAACAAAGTAATAAATTTTGGATAGCCCTTACCCCAGGGCACCTAAAAATGTTCCCAAATCCCATTCTCCTTGTCTATCTAAAGAGAAAATGCTGCAGATAGACTCAGTTTATTGTGGGCTCCACTCATCTTTGGCTGGACCACGTCTTGTTTCTACTGTATCGTAAGTTAAGAAAAGTGGCTCTCGGTGACTCTTGTTAGGCAGAGGGTTGTACTGGGATGGGTCAGTCTCTGTGACCACAGGACCTGTCCTCCTGCCATCCTGTGTCCTTATTCATAGATGTGCCTCATTGAGGAGAATGAGATTAACCTCTGGGCAGCCTAGTAGCAAGTGTGAGAAATTCCTCAATAGGAAATTTCTCGTAACATGAGCTCTAGCATTTCATACTGTGTGACTGACAGGTTATAAGAGTGCACTAAATATTTTTTGAATGAAAAGTCATTTAATCCCTAGCTAGTCAGTTAATTCTTTGGTAGATACTGTGGCGAGGAGACCGCAGTAAAACCCCTTGAGTATTTGCCCCTTTGGAGTTTATGTTCAAAGATAGCGTTTCCCAGCAGTGCTCTGTGTCATTAAGGTGTTTGTGCCATTATAGGAAAAGATTGTCAGTTTTATCTCAGGGGAACATTTTAAGTTAACGTGTGGCCTATTAAATCCCTTTTAGACAAATGAGGGTAATAAATAAAATTTTGATTTAAATTTTGTACCCTAATTTTTGTATTTTTCTAACTTTTTATTGACATGCAAAGATGTGAACATATAAACATGCCAAGAAGTAAACAGCTCACTGAATTTTCACAAATTGGGCCCATTCCTGTAACCAGCATCTAGAACAAGAAAACAGCACTGCCTTCACCCCAGAGACCCACGAGAGGCCCCTTTTCCAATTACTATTCCCCCTCCAGGGATAACCACTCACCATAGACTGGCTCTGCCTGGTTTTGGACTTCATGTAAACGCTCTAATGCAGTGTGTACTTTTTTGTTCATGGTTTATTTTGCTCAGCGTTTAGTGTGAGATCACCCATGTTACTCAGGTAGTTGGACTTCACTCTCGTTGCTGTATGTGTCCCATTTGTGTATATACCATAGTTTATCCCTTCTACTATTGGTGGAAATTCAGATGCTTTTCATCTTGGGGCTCTCAAGACTGCTGCTGTAGGGACATAACAGAAGGGTCATTGGGTGAGCATGTGTACAGGAATGTCTGGTGGATGCGTATTCAGGCGTCCGCAGGTGGGCGCGGCTTTAGCTTTATGTACTGATAGCGCCTGTTTTCCAAAGTGGATGCACCAATGCGGTGTCTCCAGCAGTGACGAAAGCTCCTGTTGCTCCAGCCATAGTTTTTTAAACCCTTTGGAAATCGATCCTTGTTTCTAAGCATGCCATTTTCACATGTGAAGGGTAGGTTAGAGAAAGAAAACATAACGTAAGTGGTATGTAAACAATTTACCTGAGGTTTTCTATTCTAAAGGTCACTGACTTAGTAAGTGTCTGCCTGGAAGGCCCTCTGACCCTGAGCGCTTTAGGAAGCCCTTTGGACCAAAAGCATGCTCACTAGGAGCCAGTCTCCATCCTCTGCCATCAACCTCAGAAATTACAGCATTGAAAACCAGCACTGACTGACTGCTTTCTGCTGCCACACCTGTGCCGTGAACTTTCACACATTATTTCATCTGAATCTTCACGGTCCTGGGAGATGTAGGTAATATTGTCATCATCAGTTTACAAATGGGGAAACGGAAACTGAGGTTAGGCAGTTGAGTGCTGGGGTCACAGAGCTGGGATTCAAGGCAAGGTCATCTGAGTCCAGGACACAAGCTGTCAACTGTCACGCCCTACGCTTTGTTTGAGCCATGGCTAGACGTTAGTCAGTGCTCTGATTATGATTTCAACTAGTGGGCAAGTTGTTAATATTGTTCAGTTAAAAAAGAAGAAGAAGAAAGAAAAGGGAAAAATACCATGCTGTTACAAGGAATTCCTGCAGCTGGTTCTCTTACATTTGCTTGAGTGTCAGCCAGAGAAAGTCCCCCAACAGAATGGCAGTGTCTCTGGCTTCGGCACAGAGGCCCCCACCCA